AGGTCTGAGTTGACAGCGCACAGTTGGAGATGTGCTGCGCGTAGGTCCTGGAAGGAAAACAGACCGGCCCAGCTGAAGTCCTCGTGCCCACTACCCTCACTCTCCCCTGGCTCCATGCACACAGGAGACAGTAGCCCCTGCATCTCTATAGGCTCTATGATTTCCATGTCCACTGCTTTAGGGTTCACCACAATGTCCCAGGAGCCCATACTGTAATTCACGTTATCAGTTGTTTTGGAGCGTGCAGTCTTTGTGGGCTTCTTGTCCCAGGCCTCGCTCTTTGCTCTGCCTTTGGGGAACGAATGTGGTCTTACTTTGGCCTCCTGACACACTTCATCTAGTTTGGTTCTGACACCATTTGTGTTGTGTTTTTCTGCCACGGAGGCGCCGTGCGCAGGAAGTACTTCAACGGGGCTGCACTCGAGAAGAGGGTCCAGAAAAGTAGTCCTTCTTTGCACCGTCCTGTTGTGACAGGTTATGGCAAACTTTTCCTCAATGTCATTCCACGCCACAATGAAAACAAATTTATGTCTTTCTTTTTCGTCAAAGACTTTGGGACGGACTGACACCCATCCCGACTCAAAGTTATCTTCCATGGTGAATGACATTTCATCCAGCCAATAAAAGGGACACGTAGATTAGCGTTAGCCACAAATCCCCTCTGATTCCGAGGCTAAGGACTGCTGCTAACACACGACGGACAGCAGAGAAACGACCAAAAACAAACGTACAAAACAGCGTCAGTACTGCTAATAACGCATCTGGCATCAAACTGTAACAAAGCATACAATATATCCCGGCTTTGTTTACCACCAGAGCGCTTGTAAAAAACAAGGTTGTCCTCTCGGTGCCGTTGAGGCGTCAGACATCTATTCCGCGTACAGCGTCATAAACAGAGGAAAAAGGCTCCTTCATAGCGCAGATATTACGGGTTGTCATCACACCTACATGCCTCGTCCCCCTGGTGCTAGTTTAGCGCTGTCCGTGTCGCTCTTTGTCCGCTCAAACAAAGCGGTGGCGCTGCTCCGCTCGCTTTTCACAGTCACGTGTGAGCCTCTGTTTACAAGCAGAGGTACATGCCCTGGTACGTGCGTGGTGTCAAATCCGGGGCGGGACTTCAACATTACGCCCATCCCCCCAAGTGCTGCATTTAGTTTATGTAGGAAAAATGGCTCTCTCCACTCTTTCAAGAAATGTTTGGACTAATACAATATTTTATACCTTGAATATCTTATCACAGGGTATGCTAAAAAGACCATGAAAAGACCAAAACTCAATTTAAACATTTTCCAGTTAGACTTTCTGAAGCCTCGCATATTTGTTAACTCACATTTTAATAGATCCGTGGATTAGCCCACATGTGTAGTTTATTATCCCCATCTGCTGGGCGCATTTGGCTATTACAACTACGACATTTGAGAGAGAAAGTTTTACTAGCTGCATAACCTTATCTTGTAGTCCTCAATGAGCTATTTTCCCCTCGAATCTGCAACCATGACTTTCAAGTTACACCCATAAAAAAAAAAAAATCAAATCTCTTCACGTGTTTCCCTTCTTTGACAACAGTTACAACCTTGATTTTCAGCTATACTTAATTAAGTGAAGTTAAGCAACTGCATGAAGCCAATTATTTTTTCCCCATTAGAATGAAAGTAAAAACCTTGAGAGTTTTAGTTTAAACATTTAATACAAGTTGATGTAACTGGAGTGCATATAGTTCTCAGGTAGCATACTTGTGACAAATGTCAGTCTGTTACTGGGTTCATATATGTTATTACAATCCATGTAAGAAAACAGACATCGCTTATTATAATTTATACCAGTCAGTCATGAAATGGTCCTTGACAAATTGAGTTCAGTCTTGTAGGCATGTAAACTAGGAATGGTGAAAGCTTTCAGTGTGTCACTTCAATGCTTAACTTTGTCAAAAAGTGCCTTTAGTTGTTCTTGGGATGTTGCTTCCTTTTGCTGCATCAAATCAGCATGACCTCTCGTAATACCCCAGCTGTCAGGCACAGACAAAGATGAACAATATGGGCGGCCGGACGCAGGCTTCAACTGCTCCCAGTAGTCACGACGAGCCCTGTTAAAGTTAACGTTATGGATGCTATTTTGCAATAACTTGACATTGCAATGAGATCAGATTTTTGATACCAACCTAGCTCTGACCCAAGGCTTTGTGTGCATTTCCAGACCACTTCCCCAAGATCCATGTTTCTCTGAACCAGCTGGAAGAAAGCCCCTCTCTACTGCCAGTTCTTCAGACAGGGCCCGAATGTGGTAAGGTTCAAAACCACAACAGCCTCCAATGTAACGAATACCTGCATTATAAGCTTCTCTGGCATATTTCTGCATATCCCATCTAGTCAGTATTCTTGGTTCAAGAGCTGAAAACAAGATACAAGTCTCATAATAGTGTAACATGCAAAGGGTTAAAAGACAATAGAAAAGATACCAAAGGGGAACTCAGGTAGATCAATGAAGCCTTGTCTGTTACAGTCTGGAGTATGGTAAGCAAGAGGCTGGCTCATGTAGTGAGCTTTGAGGCCAGCTTTTTCCACTCCCTCCTTCATCATTTTGACTGTCTTTATGCAGGTTTCAGGGTCAAAGTGACAGTTGATGCCAACTATGTCAGCTCCTACACAGAAAAATGTATCGAGGATCAGAAAAGTAATAAACTAGACTCAGACTATAGAATATTTATGGTGAAGGTTCAGTTGTCTCCAAGGAAAGAATAAAACATTATGGTCTGATCTAAGGAGAGGTGATCCCACTCACAGTCAGATGGTATGCTTTTTAAGTACTTTGGAGCAATAAAACCCCTGTAATTGAACAAACAATACCATATGACTTTGGCAGAAAGTCCACTAGAAAAGTTATAGTGCTCCTGTTATGTCACAGAGTTCTTCACCCTCATTTTTCATCCTGCCACTAGGTGGTGCCAATAATTGGAGTAGGGGTATTTTGTGGCGCGTCATTACACTTTGCACTGAATCTAACCTTTCAAACTAAGTGTTCATACCAGCTTTGACGAGTTTAACAGCACAATCTCCTGGGCTGACGCTGTTCAGGTCTCCCTCTGGCCCAATGCACAAAGTAGCAGCTACTGGCTTTCCAGTGGCCTTCAGAACCTGCACAGCCCACTCCGCTTCTTCCACATGTTCAAAATACTACAGAGAGACACACATTGAACCTGTGCATTTTAAATGAAGCACCTGCAAAAGCATCATATCCACATGAAAATAAATCTCACCTCTGCAATCAAGAAGTCCACATCTTTGTTGACAAAGACATCCAGCTGCTTCTGAAAGATAGCCTTGACGTCATCCTCACTCTTACAGCTGAGATAAGCAGGGGTCTGGGAGACTCCACCTGCCACCAGAGCATCCCCTTCATTTGCCACCTCTCGGGCCAGGTCACAAGCCAACTCGTTGATTTGCTTGCCCTGTAGTTAGGCAAGGAGGATAGTGTGATTTGAGACGGACACATGCAAATTCTCTAATGTCTCTGCCAAGATGCCATCCCCTTTCGGACAATTTAGGACACATGAGACCAGCTGCTGTCAGATTACTCACGGTAAAGCGTTGAGTGTGGCCCCTGTTCTCCAGTTTATCATCACTGGCGTAGAAAGTGAAGGTTTGCATGACATTGGAGCCAGCCCTTAGAAACTCCCTGTGCAGCTGTCTAACTGGAATAAACCACAAACAGAGTCAAATAGTAGGCCTATGCGCTTTTATAGAATTGCCAGTTAATATTTTTAATAACTAAGGTGAGCCTCTCTAACCAGCCTCAGGGTTCTCGGCAGCCGCCTCAGGAGTCCACGGCCCTGCCTTCACATAGCCCCGCTTCTCAAGAGCGAAGACAAAACCACCGTCCCCGATTACTATTTCTCCAGCATCCAGGCGCTCCAGAATACCCTACAAGTTCACATGCGCAACAATACACCAAAATCACGTGCGTGTTCAAAGTTGGTTCATTCATTCACGATTTGTATAAAAGTTGAAGAAGACGCGTTAAATCTGCAAATAAATGACTGCCTCCTCACCTTCTTTCCAGCGGGTGCCATCGTCTCGGAGTAAGGGCGGCTCTCTTTGCTCAGACAGAACTTCTGAGTTCGGGAAGGACCACTTGCAGTCATCCGTACAGTATTTATATGTCATGGAGGGGTGCGGATCTGGGGAGGTCACTTTAATTTGGTTCCGCCCGCTTCTTAGATAACACCTCCCATAGAGTTTTACAAATCACCTAATTCTATTGTAGCCATCTGTAAGGACATCTGATTAAATTTGGCTAATTATTATCAAGCACCCTGGGATAAAAGGCTACTGTATTTTATTGACCGGTTAAATCAATAAACTAGACATTTTTTGCCTTCAAAACAATGCAAACAATGTAATCAATGCAATCAATAAATGCAATCAGATCCACAACCCAAAGAGCAAAGCCTCCACTTAACAGATATGCCCAGTGATTACATCCTAAATTAAATTGAACCTTGTCATTTCAATTGACGAAGTCTACTAGTAGGCTACTAACTAGGCCATTCTAACCAACTAGCTTATAACGAGTACACAATAACAATAGTCCTTTTACCTGCCCTCATTCCCATTAAAAATGCATTAACTTTTCTGGTGGAGGGTCCCCCATCAGCCACCGCCATGGATGTTATTTGCTTTACCTTGAATATTTCACAATATGGCATTAAACACATAAGCCTAGCCAATGGCCACGTGTTTTATACAAGGTCAGATCTGTGGAGAGGCAAGCCTGCTCACAATAAGCATTTTTAAAGCAATAACAAACACCCACAGCGAAATAAATGGGTGTTAGGTAAAAGCTAGATGTTTAATGTATTACAGAAAAGTTACATGTGAAAATGCCTATATATAATCTGTACCCAAGCAATCCCTCATCCACCATTCTCCACTAAATTGTTGTTATTGTGCTCATGCCGTACTTTCACAGCATGCTATACCTAGACAACCAGTGGAATGCCAGGGTCACACAGACTGACTTCACTGACATTTACTGGTGAAGTGTGGGAGTTCTTTGATAAATAGATACTTCCAGTGGCCTACTCCTTAAATCACAAGACTGCAGACTGTCAAAAGCAACAGATCAGTAAATTGTGTCTACATAGTCCAAAGTGAAAGCCTGTCCAGTCCTATAAACAAGCAATTAATTATTAACAACATTCAATAATTTTTGTTGGCTATTCAATAAACTGCTGTGTTTTTTCTTATTTATATGTACACCTCCAAATAAAATACTTTTAGGTGAAATCACTTGAACATGCACGTAAACATTTTCAGGTGACCCACATTCGCAGAGTTCGCACATGAAGGGTTAATGGGGCAGCGGGTGAGTCGGGTTAGGTCCTGTTCAAACTGACTAGTAGTGAGTCCACTTGTGGGCGTGCCAAACCCCCTGTACAAGTGGGAGCTTTGTAAAGCATGACTGAAGCAGACTAAAAGCGGTGCTAAAAGAAATCTCCGTTATGCTTTGATTAGTAAAACTCACTCGCATATTTTCGTGTCGCTATGTCTAACTTGTTTAATTTTTTCAAATGCGGCGCGCGGAAAGATTTGACCGCATGTCGTGTAGTTTCTCATCTATTTTTGAGGACTATAACCTGCTCTTCAAGACGCTCAACCGCAGACAGGTGAGACATTCTATTTTATAAAAAGACGTTCTGTCACTTTATGTTAATCCAAAAACGCGTGTTTCTTTTTATTTATTTATTTTATTATCATTATTTTTTTAGTGAGACATCTTCAGTTTTGGGAAAACGATGGAAAGACACTGCCGACACTGTGATCATCGGTGGGGGCTGCGTAGGGGTCAGCCTGGCTTATCACTTGGCCAAAAGTGGAATGAAAGATGTCGTGTTGTTGGAGAAAACTGAGCTGACAGCGGGTTCCACTTGGCATGCTGTATGTCAAAACGATTGCTCTTTTCCTCCTTTTTATAATTATTATTTTATGATCCAAAATAACGGTTCAGTTTAAACCACTTAAAGAGGATCAACAATAATAAGCAATAACAGCCAGTGCCTTTGGGAATGCACACTAGGCATCTGTATTATAAGAAAAAAAAAAAACATTTTGCCCAATAGTCTCTATTCCCATACATCTGATTTAAGATATGACTCAAAATGTCTTTTATGTAAACACTGTAATTTCAGTAGGTTTTAAGACAAATTAGATGAATTAGATTACCTGTTTACACTAACTACAGTTACGTGTTTCAAGGCACTTGAGGACTTGACCGACTTATGGGTCACTCCTTACAACTTCCATGAACTGCTCTGTAATGCTATAAATACACATATGACACATTAGAGGTAGGGGATCAGTATCTTAGGATTTTAAAAAAAAACGTTTAAATGTGTGCATTTAAATGCATTTATGAATTGAAAAATGTTTCTGTGTGAATTGCAGGCTGGGCTGACCACTTACTATCACCCAGGTATCAACCTAAAGAAAGTTCACTACGACAGCATTAAACTGTATGAGTCGTTGGAGGCTGAGACGGGCCAGGTAATGCTTTCCAGATTTGAATGTTTTCTTTTTTTTTCCTTAGACACTGAGTCTGAATCAAATTTATATATCTTTTAGGCTGTAGGTTTTCACAACCCTGGTAGTGTGCGTATTGCTTCCACGCCTGCACGCGTTGATGAGATGAGGTATCAGATGACTCGGACCCACTGGCATGTCACTGAACAGTATTTCATTGGGCCAGAGAAAGTGCAAGAGTTGTTTCCACTGCTGAACATGGACAAAGTCTGTATAAAGCTCATACAGAAGCGATAAATAATATAATACTAGTCACAAGATTGACTGAGTTTAGTTTTGTTTACTTCTAGGTGTTGGCAGGACTGTATACCCCAGGGGATGGACACATAGACCCATACTCCCTCACCATGGCACTGGCGGCTGGGGCTCGCATGTATGGTGCTCAGATTTACAACCCTGCCCCTGTGACCGCACTGAAGTGTACTCCTGATGGCAAATGGGACGTTCACACTGATCATGGAACCATTCGTGCAAACCGTATTGTTAACACTGCAGGTAACGCAGAACAACATTCTTTTTAGTTATTTTGTTGTATTTATGAAAAACATTCCCACTTCTTTATTGATGTATTTATTGTCTTCTGATGACAAGATAACAGTTACATTCCAAGATCAGTGGAGCATATGTACAACATCTTTAGAATTATCTTGAGAATCATTAAATGACAAGAACTTCAGTCAAACAAACTCCAACTTTAAATGGCCATTGTAAAGTTTTGGGTTCTGTTAGTCCAATTTAAGTGTTTGCTTGTTCATTAGATGACTCTTGTAAGAAATACTGGCTGAAAAATACTCAATCAAATAATAATATAATTCATTATATTACTTTGTTTACTATGCATTTCACCTGCATATTCCAAATCCAGATGAAACCAGTTATTGTGTAGATCTTTCTGGTCTTTTGCCCTCACTATGTCCAGCAACCAATCCCAACAAGCCAGCAGTTTAGTTCTTATCCAATCTCAGTGCTGCATTTAAGCACACCTCCTACCCCATTTTTCTCTTTTTTGTTTTTCCTGGTTTCAGAAATGTGGACATAACTTGACTGTCCTGGCCAACCAGAATTTAAAAGTTTGCTGTCACCTTATGTTTCAGTCAGTTCTGCTCATGTATTCATCCATATATCTGTATGTGCAATTCAGTTCATCATTATTTCACTACAATTTCTCCATAATATACCAAATAGGTTAGTTATTTTGTTTATATTTTATTTGTAATAGTGAAATGTACTATCTTGTTTTTTTTTAAACTTGTTATTGGTCCAGCCCTCCAAGAGAATGTCCTGCGTTTAACCGTAACTCCAGTCCTGGCCTGAATTGACTGGGCTCTTATCGAAATGTTTGCTTAGTAACTCCAGTTTCCCTTGACAAGATAGGGATAGATTTCTGGTTTGCGTAATTATATTGTGGATGCTATTTTAAATATGCACTCCAGTAACAATTAGGAGAGAAATGTTTTGCAGTTGACATGCTATGTACAGTAGTATACTGTTATTACATTATGATTACCAATTCTATTAGGTAGGATGTCACAATCTAAAGAAACATAACAATTTAACATTTCTATTATTGCCTCTACACATAAACAACAGTGAAATCATTTACTTATTTTTTTTGCATTCCCATTGTCTACTATTCCACTGTTAGGTCACAAGATTTATGAAATTAAAACTTCTAAATGAAAATGACATAATGAGTCAGGTATAAAAGCACTTTACAGGTTTATTTTTTGGAGTATTGATTAACTTGATTTTACAAGTACCATGATTTTTTTTTCTTTATCAAGTAACGATTATCAAGAAACCTTGATGTTCCTGCCTGCTGCTTTGCTTAATTAAAGAGGCGAAATAAGTTTTCTTTGTAGCTCTTTATCATTAGCTTATGAGTGCTCATAGTAACTGTTTTACTAGGATTTTGGGCCAGGGAGCTGGGTCAGATGATTGGGTTTGATCACCCCACGATCCCAGTGCATCACCAGTACGTGGTTACAGCAACAGTGCCAGAGGTGAAGGCTCTGAAAAGGGAACTGGCTGTCATCAGAGACTTGGAGGGTTCATACTACCTGCGTCAGGAGAGGGATGGCCTTTTATTTGGTCCTTATGAGAAGATGGAGAAAATGGTGCTGCAGGACTCTTGGGTGAGAGAAGGGGTGCCTCCAGGTTGGTTTTTGCTATAAATAAATAAATAAATAAATATTTGTACTGTAAATGTATTTGTTCTGTTCATAGGTTTTGGTAAAGAGCTATTTGAATCAGACCTTGACCGTATTATGGAACATGTTGAGATGGCTATGGAGATGGTACCAGTACTGAAGAATGCAGATATTATCAACATTGTTTCTGGACCAATCACATACACGCCGGACCTCCTGCCTATGGTCGGACCACACCAGGGGGTTCCTAACTACTGGACAGCCATTGGATTTGGGTACATTTACAGATAGATGTTGAGTGTTATTTTTAGTACCTTATTTGTGATTGTATTGGTACAGGTATGGAGTAATTCATGCAGGTGGGATAGGGAAGTTCCTGAGTGACTGGATTAGGAATGGAGAACCACCTTATGATCTGATTGAGTGTGACCCCAATCGTTACGGCAAATGGGCAGATATACCATTCATGTGTGCCAAAGCCAGAGAATCATACGGTTTCAACAACGTAGGTAAGAATGAAATCTTTTTGTAATCCAGAACATTTTACAAGCCAGATGAAGTTTCAGGCTTTGTTGGATGAAATAAACCCTTATTTATAAATATATTTATCAAATTAATTCATATTCATATCACATTCTTAGTGGGTTACCCCAAGGAGGAGCGATTTGAAGGCAGACCAACGAAGCGAACAAGTGGTATCTATGATCTCCTCAAAGACAAATGCTCCATGGGATTTCACGCTGGATGGGAACAGCCTCACTGGTATTATAAACCTGGAGATGACACTGGATACAAGTAAGAAACTAAATAGCAGTGAATGAGCTAGCTATTACATTAATGTTGTATAGTGCCTGTGGAAAAGCTTTCTCAAACCTGTTCACTGAAACACAATTCTGAGATAGAAGGAAGTGTTTAAATTGAGGCAGATACACACAACTGTTAGGGGAACACATACCACTACACTAGTTGTTCACTTTCAGCCCCAAGACACAATAACCAAATAAACATATCTTAAGTTATTATTGTATTATTGTTGTGTTATTTATACTATTAATTTATCTATTACGACGTTGTGTTTAGGCCCAGTTTCCGACGTACTAACTGGTTTGGACCAGTTGGCAGAGAATGCAAGCTGGTGATGGAGAAGGTCGGTGTAATAGACCTGACACCTTTTGGAAAATTTTGTGTGAAAGGAAAGGACTCCCACAAGCTCTTGGACCGTCTTTTTGCTAACACAATGCCCAAGGTAGAGATTTAATGACTTTTGTTACAAAAGTGACCACATATACAATCATCTTTTGTTTGATACAATTCATATAAAGCATGCATACCCATGAATATTATGACTGACTGTAGCTGTAATCTAAGAGCAGGTCTTCCACTTACACATTTGCCTCTCCCTGATGTGATTTTGTTTGTTTGGTCAGACTGGTCATACTAATATCAGCCACATGTTGACACCCACTGGGAAAGTCTTTGCAGAGGTCACCATCACCCAGGTAGCACCAGGGGAGTTCTTGCTTATCACAGGCTCTGGGTCAGAGCTACACGACCTCAGGTAAATGCATCCAGCTGTATTCATATTTATAATCACTCTTAATATGTAAAAAAAAAAAAAAAAAGTATTTACAATGAATTACCAATGTTTGCCACTGTGTGACTCCAAATATAAATGAGAAGCTAGCTGTTCTGAATAAAACCTGAATAGCTGTAAGTTCAATGCCCCTCCAGTTTCTCCAGTTACAAAGCAGTATTTGATTACATTCTTGTGGGTTCCCCTACTGACTGACCCAGTACAACCGTGTTAAAATAGACAGCTAGTTCATAGCAGTGTTGCACAGCACACTCTAGTGGTAAGTAAAGAAACTGCAGAGTTCATTGAGGTCATTTTTTATGAAACGTGGCAAATGTGACATAACCTGAAGTAACATAGTGCAATGTTGAAAATGTAACATTTTGAATTCAACACAGGTGGATCGAAGCAGAGGTTGCAAATGGTGGATATGACGTTGAGATCACCAATGTTACAGATGATATTGGAGTCTTGGGTGTTGCAGGACCGAATTCACGCACAGTTCTGCAAAAACTGACCACTGAGGACATGAGTGACACTGGTTTTAAGTTTCTGCAGTGCAAGACTATTGATTTAGCAGGAGTTTCTGTCCAAGCTATTAGAATATCCTACTCAGGTAATACACAAAATGGATTTCAGTTGAGTGTTCAATTGAGTAGAAGACTAACAATTCACATTTTGGGGTTTTAGGTGAACTTGGCTGGGAGATTTATGTTGATCAAAAGAACATGGCAACTGTGTACCAAGCCATTATGGGAGCTGGAAAAGATCATGGCATTGACAATTTTGGCACATATGCTATGAATTCCCTGAGACTGGAGAAAGGCTTCAGGGGCTGGGGAGCTGAGGTTAATCCCCACCACTACCATTAGCATTTCATTTTAAATATAAGGAGTTAAATCTAGAACCAATTCAACATTTTGATCTTTACAGATGAATTGTGACACCAACCCTTTGGAGGCTGGACTGGATTATTTTATCAAACTGAATAAGGTAACAAATATCACATGCATGCCAGGTTATTGAAATAGTAATAACAAAATAACTAACTGTTAATTGTTTCAGCCTACTGACTTTATTGGCAAAGATGCTCTGAAGGAGATAAAAGCCAAGGGTCTGAAGAGAAAGCTGTCATACATCTGTGTTGATACAGATGACATCGACCCCGAGGGGAATGAGACCATTTGGTTAAACGACAAGGTAAATGGCAATGAAACAAAAAAGGCATTCATTGCTAGGATAGTTAAATAACTTTTGTTTTGTCCTCTTCAGGTTGTTGGCAACACAACTTCTGGAGCCTACAGTTACATTGCCCAGCAGAGTCTGGCTTTTGCCTATCTGCCCATAGATCTGACATCAGTGGGCCAAAAGGTGGAGGTCGAGCTACTGGGAAGGAAGTATCCCGCCATGGTTATCCAGGAGCCACTGGTCCTGACAGAGCCCACACGGACCAGATTGCAGAAAAAGGCCAAGAGCAAAGCAAAACCAGTATAAAGTCAGTTAATGTAGACTGGAATATTTTATTGTGGTCCATATTTTGAAGGGATTATCTTAAACCATCATGTCTTAAAAGATTTAATTCATCAAAGGATTCATCTTTGTATGTTTGTGGACAGATGTTGTAATTTTAATAATGACACAAAAGAACAGATTTATAACCAATTGTTGCATTGTTGTACAAACCTGTTTTATATGATTTTATTGTAATTATCATTGTTTTAAAATTATACCTTTGCTAAAAAAAAAAGTGTACAATATGTAAACTTGTCATATAGGCTCAGTAGGCATGTATTGCATGGTAAGTATGGTAATATCAAAAGTCAACTTTTATTGTATCAATGAGCTGATGATTTCAAATTGTGATTTTTTTTTAACATGTTCACTTTGATAAATTCCTCATTTTTGGAGGAATTAGTGTAAAACCTGCTTTGCCTAATTTCACACTGTACGTAGGTACACACTGACGGTAGTGTCAGGCTATTCAGCCCATTGACAAATAAAATAACACAATAACAACATGGATAATGGGTCTTTTTTTTTTTTTTTTTTTATCAAAGGTTATAGGGCTACTTCCTTATAAGTCATGTGATCTTTATTTTTCTTGAAGCTGATTGGCTACTTCAGCCGAGATGTTTTCAAGTAAGAGAAAGCGGAAGTTTCGAAGGATTCGCAGTACTACCAATTTCTGTATTATAGTACTTCGAAGTCAGTATCTATTGTGGTTGCTTTTGGGGAATATGGTGACGTATGGTTAAATTGCTGGTCCTCTAGTGCTAACCTACATGTCTCCTCTTTACCTTGTGCTTCTGCTGTTTGAAAGTCTTCGAGAAATATGCCGTTTCCTCAGTACTTCTGCATTCTTCTCAATATCTTTATAGTCAGCGGTTTTCTAAATGGGTTTACGGCGGTTTCAGCAGCAAAGCAGCCTCATATAGTTTTAATTCTGGCTGACGATTTTGGTTGGTATGATGTTGGCTACCACGGCTCTGAGATTAAAACACCAAATTTAGACCAACTATCCGCGAGTGGTGTCCGATTGGAGAACTATTATGTTCAGCCCATTTGTACTCCATCCAGGAACCAACTAATGACGGGGAGATACCAGGTGAGCAGCTTTGTGTCTACTCTTTATGGAAGTATACTTCAGTTGTATACATAAACTAAAAGTAATGTCCCTTTATATACTTACAATATAAATAATTAAATGTGTCTCAATTTAGTCCCAGTCTCTCTGCAAGAGTGGCAGAGTCACAACTCTTATTTAATCAGTTTTGTCATGGCTCTTATGTGTGTGCACAGGTTTCATAACTATGACCAAAATGTGTCCTCTTTTTGTTTGTGCAAGTTTTGCTGAAATGGGACCTCTTTGTGTCCTTAGATTCGCACAGGATTGCAGCATCAGATCATATGGCCCTGTCAGCCATACTGTGTCCCACTGGATGAGACATTACTGCCACAGCTGATGGGAAAAGCAGGTTACTCTACACATATGGTTGGCAAGTGGCACCTGGGCATGTACAAAAAAGACTGTCTTCCTACCCAGAGGGGTTTTCACTCATACTTTGGTAATGCCTAATGCTTTTTTACTGTTGTTCTAGGTTTTTCGTAATTAGGGCTGTCACAGCAATTACCGATTAGCTTATTGTTCAATATATGACAGATGGAACAATTATTTTGGGGGGACAGTATTTATCATGTGGACTGTTTCTTTGTACTAGTGGTCAAATTTAGGTTATTGTTCTGTAATACAGTAAGATTTGAGCTGTAGAAGGTTAATAACTTCTGTGACTCATTACAGGTCCAAAGTAACTACTAAAGTGTTTAATTCTGTTATTTATTTATTTATTGCAGCTCATATTTTTAACAATATTGTACATTTAGAAAACTTTTTGAAGAATAATTCTGTTTTATGGTTTGGCATTTTTTGTCGATATTTCATGCAATATATCACACTGTTATTGTGACAGGCCTACTCTTAATTTGTCAACTTCCATTCACAGGATATCTAACTGGCGGTGAGACTTACTATGACCATGTCCGCTGTTTTCCAATATCCTCTTTGAATATAACCCGGTGTGCTCTGGACTTCAGAGAGGGAGAGGAGGCTACCGCTGCTTATAAAGGAGCTTATTCCACTGAGCTTTTCAGTGAAAGAGCCTCCAGTATTATACAAACACACAAATCCGATAAGGTAAACAACAACAAAACATGTAGCAAGTACATAGAAAGCATTAAAATATTAACGTATTGTATGTTTAAACTATAGAAACTTGCAGTGAGTCTATAATACTATTAACTGAAATTGTTTAACTTACAGTGGAGACCTTTTTTATGATTTTGACCGGTTTAGTTCTTATTAAAAGTATTCAGTTTTCTTTAAACAGTCATGAAAACACAGTTAGCCCTTTCTGGTCTGTAAACATTCTAACTGAAATCATGTGTATGCCACTTATTCAATTCCTGCCTAATGTTCATTACTTCAGCCACTGTTCCTCTATGTTGCGCTGCAAGCAGTCCACTCACCTTTGCAAGTTCCCCAGCGCTACCTGACGCCCTACAGTTTCATCAAAGACCATAATCGACGAATCTATGCTGGCATGGTGTCTGCTATGGACGAGGCTGTGGGCAACATTACCTCGGCCCTTAAACAAAGTGGGCTTTGGGAAAACACTGTGCTTGTCTTTTCAACGGGTAAGAACACATGAAAGACAATTAAAGTACAAATATCTCCAGGGGTGGGCTTTTTCCACAGGGCTACATGAGAAACAGAAAATATTATGGAGGGCCGGGCCAAAATGCTTAACTCAATTCTGCATAATATTAATTGCATTTCTTTATAAAAAGCAGTGAGTAGCATTGTTTTGACAAGCTGGTAATACTGGTAAGAGTATATGTTATGACTAAGCTATGAAAAAGTGAGGTTGTCTTAAAAATGCCATTTAAAAATATAGCTCTAAAATAAAAGCAATGCAGTTAACAGGCCAGTCAGAGTCAACCAAAGGGCTGTATGTGGTCCGGGAGCTTTACAATGCCCAGGTCTGTACAAGAGTGTAAATTGATGGTATGTCAGCATTTTACCAATTTGTTTGCGTTTGGATTTGTACACTACTTCAAATATCCACTAGAGGGCAATGCCTTTATCTTTTGACCTCCTGCGTTCATTAGAGCGCCCTTTTAAATGCCACTACACTACTTAAACGCTTAGTGTCTGTGCCAAGTAGTTTACTGTACAATTTACCTTATGGGTAAATAAAAAATTTACAACTTTATAATTCAGGAAAAGCCTTAGTATACAAACATTATGGAATTAATACATAAAAGTATAAAACAGTTCGTTGAAACTGAACAGGGTTTCCTTCTTTTATTGGATCTTTATAATGATTTTCATGTGAAGCAGGTATGCTCCTTGAACCAAGAGAGTTACTTTGACAATTAGAAGACAGGAACTGTCTGTAAGTGTTAGAGTTGGAGTCTGCTGCCCTAGGTGGTCTTTTCATTGTTCTCTTTCACATTTGGTTAGTCCTCACATGGAAGACAGCCATATGCCAGGTAGACGCCCTGTATGCTGACTGGAAGCAAATACTTCCTGCTTCTTTGAAATAGCCTCAACTGACCTTGTGAATTCACATCACTCCTTCCACAATAAATGCTAAACCTTCCAATATTTATAACCTTCCCGTATTTACAAAGTGACGTTACAGCTTGCAGTGTCACTTTGGTTAAGCTGTAATTATTGGGCTGTTATTCTTCTACACATATTCCATATGAGTTTAAACAGAAATCCAAAGTGTCATGAACTTCAGCAACTTCAAGATTATTGTATTGTGACATTTTTTGTGACATCTCATTGGGGTATTTTACTGCAAAGTAAATGTATAGCTCACTGTAAAGTGAACTAGTAGAGTTGGCCTGTGCAATAGCTAACAGCTTGTAAAGGCATTATAGGCACACTGTCATAGAAGTCTGGGACGGACAGTTCTGGAATAGACAGAGGACTAGCTGAAACTGAGACTTGCTTCACTGTGATTGGCCTGTGTGTGTTTATACTGGACAACCCGCTGAGCCCGATGACCGTTGAAACTTGGAGTGTGTGTAATGGTTTTAAGAAAGAGAAACTTCATGACAGAGACAGACATGGCTGTATTGTTTCCATTTTCTTTGGTCTGTTACTGTTTCAGTGTTTTTCACAGTACATTTAAATGTCCAATTTACAGATTTCCTTGCTGTTTAAAATTAAACTTTTGAATGAAGTGAAGAAAGGTTAAAAATGGCTTCCAAACACTCAAGTTAACTTGTGTGACTTGAGTGTTTGAATAGTTTAAGTAGTGCAGTTGTATGACAAGTCACCTACCTTGGTGTTGTGAAATCAGACCCATATCTGACCAACTGGCCATCATATTATTTCCTGTCTAAAGTTCTTAAAATTCTTTAACCTCACAATTTACAAATCTACTGTATACCATGAACAGATAACGGTGGTCAGACCTTGTCTGGTGGCAGCAACTGGCCCCTAAGAGGAAGGAAAGTAACCCTGTGGGAAGGTGGTGTCCGAGGAGTGGGCTTTGTTGCTAGTCCACTAATAAATCGACCAGGTCGTGTAAGTCGTGAGCTTATCCACATCTCTGACTGGCTGCCCACACTAGTGGCTCTGGCTGGTGGCTCGACTAACTCCACTAAACCACTGGATGGATTCAATGTCTGGAACACTATCAGGTGTGTCTATCTATTGCCTAGTAACTACCTCTCAAAACTGCAAGAGTGTTATGGTTTAACAACTGAATGTTCTCTTTTCCTACAGCGAAGGCCATGCCTCTCCCAGACTGGAGCTCCTGCACAACATTGACCCTTTATTTGGTGACCCTTCTCCATGTAAGTATATGAATTACTTTATACATACTACTGTTTTCTGATAGTTGTTTAATAAACGTTGTAAATAAATGTTGTAATAAGATGACTGACATTTGAACTCAAGATTGAACAATTTGTACTACCCATTACGGGGGACAGTAGACAGACCACTGTGGACCAGTCTTGCTTAATTTTGGGTAGAGCAAACCACTTCCTCCTCAGAGGGCTCTGGGCTTCGACCTAAGTTCACTATTTTTGAAGCAAGGACACTACACCTCAATAACCAGTGCTATAATGACATGGGTGGAGTACTTTAGAGATGTATGCAGGGGAAACGTGCCAAGACTTCCAATACAGGTACTAACCCTATAATATTTGTTGTACTCCATTATAGCATGGTATATATAAGAAACCTTAAAACCTTATGATTCTTACATACAGTGTATCTTATTGTAAACAACAAAAGGGGGATCACTCTGGAGTCTGTGGGAACAAAAGGATTTTGAGATCATGTTATAAATTTCACGTCATACAAATAATAAAACCATCCAGACCAACAGACCACTGAAGCATTTCTTAATGTGTTTTGTCATTGCAAAACTTTTTACAATGGTTTATTATTATATTACTAACTGAGGTTAGGGTGTTGATAAACCATTCTCCAAATCAATTTTTATTAAAACCCAATTTCTGGTTTAGTGGTGCTTTAACACAATGGTTTATCTCAGCAAACATATTATTGTCTTTCTAAATTATGATATTCTCTGGCTACAACAAAACCTTTCCCAATCTTTGTAATACCCTTTAGGAATCAGTAGTCAATAGACACAGCCCTGAATCATCTCCAAATCACCCTAAATTTCTTTTCTCCCCCTCACTACTTTTTAAGTAATTTGTGCTTACCCAGTCAAACTACAAAATTGCCTATTTTGTAGGCTATGATGTGCTATGAAATCAAGATTAATCTATGCATATATTTCTATTTTCTTAAGATGATCCACAGTAAATCCACCATTAGAGCTTATATTATGTAGCCACAAAACACAGAACATATTTATTAATCCTCAAGTTATAATTGTGGTGGATTTTACTTGTAAAACTGACTCAAACTGGAACATGGCAGCCTTTGAAAAGCTTTAACAGAGGGTTGCATGCACAAAGAATGCAGAGAAAATACTTTTTGAAAGTGTTAGAGGAGAAAAATTACTTGTGAATCTGACTAATCAGGACCATATTGTTAGGGTCAACCACACTGTGAACCTGAAAATACTCTCAAGGCCACATCTTCTTTGTTAAACCCCAGACACATGGGCTCAGATCTGGGAGACATTTTCAGTAAGAACAGAAATAGCTCATGACCCAAGTACAAGGATTTCTAGACAGAGAACAAGGCCTTTTTGTTTCACAAGCTGATAAGATCTTTGTGATTGGTGAATTGGATTTGTTCACATATCTTAACTTTTTAAGGGGGTGAGCTATGACAAATATAAACTGTGGGTATAGGCCTAAGTGACTGTTGATTAACTTTAGGAGGTAAGCTCACACATTTCACTGTGTGGTGAAATCTGCCTGTTCCTCCCAGAGCATGCAAGAACTGATACTTCATATTACAATATAGAGCTGCATTAAAAGGAAAAACACTGCATGATAAAACAATTACTCCAAATTGACAGATGTCACATTGTTGTTGCATATAAGCAACACAGAGTAACAAACTAGAATACATAATATAAAATTATTTGATCCTAGAGGTTTACAAATATACAGAAAGGTGTACTGTCTTTAATAATACAGACATTGTTTGAAATTGTTAATTTTTATTCATTTTGATCCCCTTGAACAATCCATGCTACATAATACTTGTTTTACCATACAAAGAACAGCCTTACATTATACTTATATTTATTTTTACTCCTCTCCCTGGATTTGCAATAATGTAGCTGACCCTCCTGGTTGTTTAAAATCCACTGCAATGGTTTTATATCCAATATCATCTCAATCAGCAGTTCTCACATGTCTCAATAAGTGACCTTCATAATGTGCACTGTCCTCTGCTCTCCATAGGCCCTGGCAGCAAAAGAAAGTTAACTTTGGCTCAGGTGGACAGTGGAAACTCCTGGGCTCACTCTGGCTTCAATGTATCCATTCACGCAGCTATTCGATGGTCAAACTGGAAACTGCTAACTGGCTATCCAGGTCTATCTTCTGTCTGCTTTACAAAAATGGAAGCTTTGTTCAAATATACACATATGTCTTTTTGGTCTCATAGGTTGTGATGCTTGGTTCCCTCAACCTGACAGTAATAATTCTGAGTCCCAAATCCTTGATCTGCACCCACTGAAGCCAGTCATGCTATTTGATGTTGAGAATGATCCAGAGGAAAGGACTGAGTTATCTGCTAAGTTCCCTACAGTTGTTGACTATCTTCTTGGTCGACTCAACGTTTACCAGAAACAGGCATTACCAGTAAACTACCCTGATGATGATCCAAAGTGTGACCCAGGCCCTGGTGGAGCCTGGGGACCATGGGCCTAGAAAGATATTATCTAATGAAGGTGTGTAAACATGTTACCTGGCCTGTCGCAAACACATTTTGATGTCAGTATAGGAAATATAATGACAAACTATAGTCATTCAGAAACTATTCCCAATTCCCTGTTCTAAACTAACCTTACTGTTGCAGCAAGCTACAATAAAGCAGACATATACATTATTAGTAATTGGACATACAGCTCAAATGTTAATGGACTACAATGAAATAGTAAAGATGCACGCAACAGATACTCAGTTGCAAAATGTCAATTTCTCATTTACAGAATGCATGTCCTGATCTGCAGCTGACCACCACAATGTGTTAACCCGGCATTATCACCACAGAATGGACCTGCCCTTATTACTGTGACATGCCTAATATTACGCAAGGTATTACGCAAGTTCGTCAAAATTATTGTTGCAGCATATAGAATTTTTTTAGTATTAAATAAAATATAATATAAATTAAAGCTGTTTTAACCATTTCGAGCAGAGGGCTCCTAAGAGCTCCTCTTGTTGGCCGTCACATAGTAACGGGGGCTTATACTGGCAAATACTTCGGTGGGGTGACTCATAGAGAATGGGAGCTCTGGAGTTTAAATAAAAGGCTGAGTGATGTTGATGCACAGTAGCAAAAATAAATGAATCCATACAAAGTTTAATCCAGTTAATGTCACAATACACAATAGAGCGCTTTTGGTAAAGTAGAGCCTTCACCAAAAAACGCTGTATTGTGTATTGTGACATTAACTGGATTAAATTGTTTCCTTGTTAACACCTTTGTCAAGTTCTTACCTTTTGTTCAAATACCCTTTGTTGCAAGGTATGGCATTTACTGTAGAGTGTGTATGTATGGTTCAGCGTTAGTAAATATAAATGACTAATTGTGTATAGTAATGCAAAGATTCTTAACAGTGTATTGGAGGGAGCAACATAATGTTGAGAATAATGACAACTATGGAAATAACAGTACATATGCCAATCTGTATAGCTACAAGTGGGAAGGGGAAGAGGCTGGGGAACTTAGTTATATTTGTTAATGGGTTCTTCGGATTGATGTTTAAGCCTCCCATTTATTCATGTGGCCAAAAACCCTTATCTTAAATGACAGTCTAAGAATTTTTTAATTTTTTTTCAATGTGCAGTTGTGTATATATGCCTAGCTTTGTGAGGAGCATTAAAAAATGAGAGATTTTTGTGCATGACAAGTGGGATAGGTCCTTTTTTTTTTTTTGCCCAATTTGAGTTAGATTTTATTTTTTGGATTTATTATTGTTTTTATTTGTGTTTATTTATTTCTGCAGTTTACTATGTTTATTAATATTCCTAATCTCCCCATGAGCAACAAATCCCCATTGAATTATGTGATAGGTATGTGAGATAATGTAATTTCTACAGAGAAGGGGGAAAATGTTTGTTTTGGTAGTTTGTATATTGCTGTGGCCTTTTCTTAATAATGTTCACCTGCATTCTGTTTTTTGCTTTCTGAATGTTATGAATGGTGGTCATGCTGGGTTTCTGCTGGGTGATTTTCATATTTGGAGTCTCAGGAGAAACACATTTCTGTAAAACAGCTGCCCTTTGACCTCTGGCAGTTGACCTTTTTAACTGGTAATATTCGAAGTACACAGGGAAGATTCCCTATTGAGAACCTTGCTCTGACACGTGACCTACACTACATCCTCCAATAAATAAATATGCTAAAATGTTATTTCCTGTATATAGCAAATTTTCCATGTAAGTAATCTCAATTGGAAGACTTTAAGGTTTATTTAAATAATTTACCTAAGACTTTGAGGCAGTTCATGGTAGCCCTCTGGTTGTGGGGAAACCTGTGTTTTAAAAAAAAAAAAAAAAAAAAAAGCACAAAATCTTGGTGTATATTTGCTTTAAAAAGACTTTGCTGCAGATGGATTTCAAACCCGGATTTTGGTAATGGTTGGTTGTGAGAGTATTTATTTCATTGCCAAAGACATAAATTTGTCAGTTTGTGTATACTCCACAATCAAAACTTTGGATCTCAGGGTGATGGGATAGTCTATGTAATTAGATGTTGCCAGTGTTTATCATCTATCTAAACTAACGCTTACGCTTAGCGTGTTTCTCAGCATAACCACTTTTGCACTTCTCATACATGTCTGTGGTGAGCTACCCCTCCTGAAGAGTTATTCCATCTCTCCTTGTCATTAGGAGCAGCTAACCTCAGCAGTGCCACGACTTGTCTCTTCTTCATAGTTTTTAAAGCTGCTCTGCTGCTCCTTTCACGCTTAATCCTGCTCTTTGACTTAGTCCTGTGAAGTGTGCCTCCCAAAGCGACACATTGACTCTGGATGGATCAACAGCGGGATTGGCTGGATGTGACGCAGTGCACTGTTATTTCAGCTGTGAGCTATAGTGTGTCTCTCTTATATGATACCCCAGACGAGATGACAGTGGAAACATTATTTGGGTTGAAGCTGCATGTTTTGATGAAGTGCACATAGATGATAAAAATGCGCAACCACCTTTTTTGTCCTCTTTGATATGTCTCTGCATGGAGAGACAGAGACAAGACAGTCAAAGGACTGGAATTCCAAACAATATTGTGCCTGACTGTGCTCCCTGTCTGTGAAAACAGTTTAACACATTCCTCACTAGGATGATTTTAATCTTAGTGCCTTGAAAGGGGAAAATCCAACTTTTGTATATGTACAGCAAAGAGTGAAAACGTCCCTCAATAAGAGGTCACTAAAGTGCAGGAAGAGATGGACATTCAAGACTGACTGTGGACAAAGGTGGTCAAAGTACTGCATTTCATTACTGGTCCAATATTACTCCACTACAAGTAAAAACAGCTCAGTGAAGTGATTACTTAAGTAAAAGTACCACAGTATTCACAGTAGAAATTACCTAAGGTAAAGTAAAGATTTAAAGGATGCAATTAACTTTTGATAATTCGACAAGCCAAAGCTATGAAGGACAAGAACAAAATAAGAAAAAAGTCAAAATGTGACATTGCTCAAATTCAAAGACAGGCTACCTTTGACTATATTATCAACCACCTGTGTAACAGGGCACAAACACCAGGGCAGTAACTGTTTTGCCCAAAACATTTATCACGAGCCTTCTCTTATGTTCTTTTCACAGGAAAAGAAACTGAAAATGAGGCATGGGTTCAAGTCCAACTGTTACTTTTATGCAACAAGAATAAAAACTAAAATCCCCTTAGCACCGAGATTCACTGACTATGTAATGGCTTTTTGCTAGACCAATGGGTGTGTGCTCAAGTTTTTTGTTGAATGAGAAACATGAGACAGGGCCAAAATATAATCTTTCTCAGCTGCTTCTTGTGGAGTAATGGATGACCTAATGGCCTACATTAACTAATGCAGTCACAATGCAGTTATAGCCTAGAAAAGAATGGGCCCTATAGCATTGTAATTAGCGAGTGGAGACTCTTGAAATGGTCTCATTTAATTAGCTTATGGGTTAAACATGTACAAAGTTGCAAGAAATATATTATATTTTAGGACTCAATACCCTACCTTTTCCCTCATTTTAAACATAGATCAACAGTTTTCTTTTTCTGTTAATGTCACATGTCAAAGTGTTTCTTACTTCTACATATAGTATGCAGAAAGAAAAGAAAGCAGGGGGAGGTGGCTTACTCCAGTCACTCCTCCAGCCGTGTTGAGAAGGGGGGCTGAGCCATTCATTGTGCCTTGCAGTCGGAGAAAACGTGCCACTATCACCGAGAGGAAAAAAGTAGAAGGGCAACGCTGACAGCACCGAAGTAAACTACCACCGCCTCACATCTAACGGATCCATAACTTTCTGGAATTAAAGTAGATTACAGCCTTTTCAGCCAGAGTCAGAAAGCAGCGAGCGCGTAAGTAGTCGACTCAACAAATCTTTTGCCTTTTATCTAAGCCCGATATGTTCTGTGATGAATAATACGTAAACTCGTTTGTTCGTCTCAGTGTAATCAGTCCTGCTTGTGCTCAGAATTTTAAGTTTTTGTCTGGCTCTCCATTCGCGCTTAGGCCGTTTTGGAAAGTGGAAACTTTAGGCAGCCGCCTAGTTCGCGCTAACTATGTGCCAGCATCTTTGATCAACCTTAGGTACAGCATCAAAAGAGCCACATAGGATTGGGTTAGTTAGAAGGTTATAGACTCTTTAAGATCATGCCTAAGATAGTCAAGGCAACAGCAACCATTGCTGTACACCATCCTTTCAATCCCCTAAAATTGTATTATATTAAATCAGCATAATGCTAACTATTATTCATTATTATTATTCTTTACCATGACCCATATGGACATCACATTAAACACACGAAGAAGCAGCCAGGTTTGGACTTTCTTAACAGGCTAGAGCGAGTGCTCTAGAAATTGTTTAAATTGTTTTAATCAAAGTATTTTTTTATTGTATGTTATAGTTTTTATTTATGATGTAGCTAAAGTCTGGCTTTGTATTTTTTTTAAGGCACCAAGAAAAAGCATTGAAAGGCCCCACATAACCTCCAGCCCCCATCATTTGTACACGATGTCAGTGCCTACATAGGTCTGTGTGCTTTGTAAGATCTAGGGTTGCTGCTCCACTATTGTCTCTTTAAACAACAGTCCAAACAAAGTGCAATACTCTGATTCTTGTTTTGGGTGTTGTATTTCAAGAGTACCCATTGCTTAGAAAATAACCCACTTCTGTAATGTAAAACTACCACTTCCACTGATGTAGAAGATTTTCATACTTCCCTCTAATACTTGTTATTTTTTGTTTTATTTTTCTTTCTTTCCAGTAGCAGACTCCATTAGCCGTGTTGTTGTTCCAAACTATTGCCCCTGATTTAAACTGAAGGAAATTTCCCCACCACATGTTTCCATGCAGTGCGGGCTGTCATTATACCAGTGTACTATTTGAATTTATATGAACATCTGCCTACTGACGTTACTTAAGTTCATTGAACTGTTATTAAAAATGTGGCAGTTTTGTAATTTGCCTTGTGTTGATACATGAGTGGAAAGTCTTTTAACCGGAGTGCAATAGCTCAACTTTCCTATGACTTCTCTAGTAACAGCACTATTTCCTTTTCTAAATGCTGATGAAGTCATTTACCATGCAAGAGGTCTAGAAGGTTTAAAAGCATAAACTTGCCAGAGCAAAATGAATGTTATTCCTCATTCTATTGTTTCTTTGTCACAAAAAAGGACTTCTGCAAACTGTTCATTCTTTTCTTGCACATGATGCATAGTTGCCACATCATCCTCCTTCTGAACTTCAGTGACAGCAGCACTATGATCCAAAATCCAGATTGAAGGCAGTCAGTTTATTTCCCCTTGAGAGGGAGCTGTTTTCAGTGAAGGATCTTGATCTCTAACCTCTACACACTGTGCATTTCTTAATGAAGTTCTATGTGTTGTATTTCCATTGTAAATATCATTGACTGGCCTGTTGAAATTAGACCTGGGCACTATCTGCTTGTGCGTGAAACTTAAGTCGGTGTGAAATTCACTAATTGAATGGCTACTTTTGTGTCAGAGGTTACCACAGATGATTCCCGCTCAACATCTGGAATACAGTTTGTTACAGTGAGGGGCCCTCTGTGCACAGCCTGCAGTGCCAACAGCCTTAATGAAAAAAAATGCATTTGCATCTGTTCCTCTTATTTACTTCTAATATTCTTACACATCTGTCTACATAAAGAATAAAGAAAGCCACAGTTTCCCTTATTGCCTCTGTAAATGCAGCCAATAAAAATAGCACACTTCCTGAGTGCTTCTGTTGCTAACACTTAAAGAAAGTGCATTAAAATGGGCACCACACTCTAAAGATTGTTTATTTGGCTGTAAAACTGATGAAAATGCTGTTCAAATGAATAACAGCAGAAAGTTTTTACTTTATGTATTTTTTTGACATTAAATGTTTGTTGGGACTGAAAACCAGAGAAGACACATTTGACTTTTTTTTTTTTTAAATTCACTTCCAATTCTAGTCTCAAATATTAATCAAGAAGGTCTGTTCAAATCAATAGCGTTCTAGGCATAGAATGTCGCAATGTCATAAATTGATACAGATATGCGAATTTCTGCATCTAAATCTTTCTTTGTCAGTCTCATTCAGTCTTAGAGTAACTATCCTCAATGTGAACATATCTATTTTAGCAGTTTAAATGTTGCATATTTGTTGACTTGCAAAAGCTGTCTTCCACAGTGTGGCTAGTCATGCACATTGATTAGATTAGGCAGCCAATTGCCCTTTTTGCTCCTTTCTTTTCTATTCTGATCACTCTTTTTAGTGGTATCTGTTTGGCTTCATTTATTGGGAAACTGTATGGGTGGGGTCGACTTTACAACAAAGCTCACAGTGGTGCTCTCTCTATCAATAGGGGCCTAGCAGTGGACGCAGTGTCATTCCATGAAGAGAAAGAGAAGTGAATGACTTGTGGCGGACCAAGTGGGGGGCAGGACTCTCTTGTCGGGTGAAACGAGGAGAAAAATTCAGTGGTGTTTTTTCCCTTTGTGGTGCGGGGGGTCAGTCTCAGGGGGAATGCGAGGCAGACATGCGTTTGGGCTGACAGCTGCAGTGCCTCAAGCATTTCGGGTCCCAAAGCAACTGTTAAATCTCCACTGGTGTTTTACATTGACTTGAGTTTGTCCAAGAGCTGGTAGACCATACAGTCATGGCTCTACTCCTCTCTAAATGTTATAACAGACTGGTGCAGAAAGATGGTGATTTTGTCAGGGGTGTAGGGACTCCGGTCTCCCAGCTGTATTCTAATGATCAAAGGTTAGGTTCCTGCACAATAGGCAGCTTGTGCATATGTGTGATAAGGCTTGGTCCTAAGTTCATTGTGTGGCTTTAAACACTACGATTGAATTATTTAGACCTACAAAAATAAGTCAGATTGCAGAACACTCAAACTCATAGAGTTTGAGTGTTCTGCAATCTGACTTACTTTTAATTTAAAAATGTCTTCAGACTTGTATTTGGGTCATTCCACGCCATTTCAACAAATGGCCCACACACTTCGATCTCAAAAAATTTTGAAAAAAATACCAAATAGTCCCTTATTATCATGTACCAACCCTGTGAAGTTTTACTTTTTAAGTTACAGCTCATTTTATGAGGGGAGTATGTGTCAATTTACGGGCCCAAAATCACTAAATTTTTTCTTGACCGTTTTCACAGGTCGATATCTCCATAAGTATCACACATAGAGGGCTTAAATTTTTGTAGGCTTGTACTCCTCTACTCTGTGTTCAAAAAACATCTATCGGAAGATTGGAATCTCAACTCATTGTCATTTTATATGAACTTAAAAATTATTTTAAAAAAAAAAGACGTGTTCATTTCCGTGGCGTACCATTTTTAGCCCCTTTTTAAACCTACTTCTCGGTGTCAGAGACCCTTAAATTCTTTTGAGAATCAAGATATGTAATAGGACTGTTAAAAGAAATCACCAAATGTTTAAAATTTTAAATAGGTTATGTGTGAGGGTCTTGTTAAAACAAGAAAACGTAACATGATCCGATTTTCACATGCAATTTATGGCATGTGGGTAGTGATAAACATTTTTTGGAATAATTTTTTTTTGAAAGACCAGAAAAAGACCTTTCATATGGTACCAAACATATGTATTTTACGAAGCTCCAATTTTTTTATTGTATCTTGAACCTTCGCATTTTTGAGGTTTCGGTCATAGTGCAAGACACAATGACACGAGTATACAATGACCATGTACTATGTTTTATTCCAGAAGCTAAGGTCACTAAACATTTAAAGACTGAATCAAATGGTTTGATCATAATTTTGATGTGACAAGGTATCTATGACAAGTTATCTGACATCCAAGAAAACAGCTGTAGCTTATTCTCATATTAAAGAAACAATCAAGTCATGTTCAACAATATGATATTGTCTTCTTTTAGTAGTGGAAGGCGCATTGATGTTCAACACTATGCAAACTTCACAATAGATTTTTGTGCGCAATGAACTCAAACATGCGGAAGCAGCCAAGAAGTGAGGAAACAGTCCCCTATCATGTTCGTATCGCCCGAGCAGGTAAAGAAAGTCTTATGGAATCTTAAATGGAAAGTGCTAAGTTTGTCCATTTAAGGGAAATTGCAGGATTTGTGGGAATTTATCGCATATAAAAAATCATATTCATCTTTATTCTGGGCTGAACCTATATAGTTCCAAATGCACATTTGTTTTGAAGTTTAGGGTTTTTTTTGTTTTGTTTTTTAATTTTAAGGAGAGCCAATACATGTTTGGATCACCATGGGACCAAGAGCCTACTCCCAAGAAATGAATGAAGTGCACAGATGACGAAGCGCCTGATTCAACTTCCAAGGCCACACCGCAGTCAACATGGTCAACTGAACCATCTAAAACCAGTCCACCAGGAATGGCAAAGCTTCCACAGGTTGAGCAGAATTCTGGTGGTCAAGCTTGTGGGGACTGTCCATGCTGCCGTGACCTCAGCCAGAAAATCCAAAAGCTTCGGGACCGACTGTGGGTTTATGAGGATGTGCCTACTGATACTGATGACGAATAAGACATACATGTTCTGAGTTCTGGGTTGTTAGATATCTTGTAACACACCCTGTTGATTCATTCTTGTTCATTCTTCATGTTTGGGAGCTTTAGCTGCTGGAATAAAACATAGTACATGGTCACTGTATACTCGTGCCATTGTGTCAAATGCGAATGTTCAAGATACAATAAAAAATTGAAGGAGCTTCATAAAATACATCTGTTTGGTACCATTTGGTAACACTTTTTTTTTTTATCACTACCCACATGCCATTAATTACATGTGAAAATTGGACCATGTTGCGTTTTCTTGTTTTTAACAGGACCCTCACACATAACCTATTTAAAATTTTAAACATTTGGTGATTTCTTTTAACAGTCCTAGTACATATCTTGATTCTCAAAAAAATTAAGGCTCTACTACTCCTAGAAGTAGGTTTACAAAGGGGCTAAAAATGGTACGCCACAGAAATGAACACGTTTGTTTCATTTTTAGGTTCATATAAAATGACAATGAGTTGAGAAACCAAACTTTCAATTGATGTTATTTGAACACAGATTGGAGGAGTACAAGCCTACAAAATTGCAGCCCTCTATGTGTGATACTTACGGAGATATCGACCTGTGAAAACGGTTTCAGAATTTTTAAAAAACATGATGCGTGAGATTTTCTGGAAATTTGATGAAATGGCATGGAATGACGCATTTTCAGTTTTGGCCTGGTCTAGTCAATTATTTTATTTGTAGTTCCCCTATCACCATAAAAACCCTGATCTGGTTGAAATTGCCGGTTTGTTATTGATCATATTGTTTTTTTGTAGCCTCTGTGTAACCAGTCCTCCATTCTGCAGCATATTGCTTTAATAAAAGTGACACAGGCCATATATAAAGGCTGACCCAGTTACCGTCTCACTCAAAATGCAACTGTATTTTTCGTCTTGTTCTTGGTGAACGCCTTCCCTTTAGCCCACCATCTGCCTAATGGCCTGTGCAGCTGGAAATTGATTTACTAATCTTAGTCTTCACAGATAAGGCTGACTTGTGCTCTACTGGTCCACTTAAGTACTTTGCCTCTGAAAATTCATAGAATCACATTCAGAGTTTATTTACTACTGCTATGTTTTCTGCTAGTGAATACATCTTTCTTTATATAATCTATATTTTTTGTGCATTTGATGTGCATTTGTTGTTGTGACTCCTTCATTCTGGGCTCACTCAAATAACAGGGTCTCCTGCTTAGGTCAGTCTTTGAGAGGGAAGAATGCAGCAAATTAGGTATTTCTTTGTTTGCTGTTGTCATTTGAGGCTGTCCGTGGCAGCTAAGTGGTATTTGCCATCTGAAGACAGCAGGGATTACTCTTGTCTCCCTCTGCAAAGCCTGGGACAAGGGGGTAAACATAGGCTCAAAAACAAGTTAAAATGAGTGTAATGGTAGTGCTGAAATAGGAGCACATGATGCATGAAGAAATGACAGCTTTAAACAAGTAAGGTTTGAAAGGCCCGGAGTATCAGACGTAATGTTTGGCAGTTAACTGGGACATGCCTGGGTCAAACATCTGTGATCCATTTCTCAGGCTTGGAGCTGCCTCTTTCTCTTTGTCTTTCTACTTAAAACTGTGCCTTATACTCACTTAGTGATACATTTACATTTAAGTACTAGACGGTTACTGCTTATTTTTTTATCACAATGTTCATTTGCATCAAGGTATTTCATATTTCACATGCTTTTATATATGCAAACATTTATTATAGCAAAACTGTCACTCATTTTCAGTCACCCTGTTACCCTAATAACATGGATTTAAACACGATTTTTATTTTTAAATAAATATTTAAAAGTCATGTTATATTTGTACTCTTTTTTGCTACTAGTTCTACACTATTGGCTGTTAGTGCCACCTCCTCAGTGCAATACATCCATACAAATAGGAGAGAGAGGACTTTTTTAAACCCAACCCATTGACTTAAATTACACTTACTTATCTCTGCCTGACACTCTAGAATCATGAGGTCATTAAAGGGGTCGTTCTGTTACTGCACTGCCATCAGATTCCTCTGACCAGTGACCTGTGGCGCATCAACCCAGGGTCATAACCCACAGATACAAGCATGCCTCCATGAAACATCCCCTAATATAATTCAACAAACAAGACTGGGACCACTTATGAACTCACCTTGCTCATAATCAATTCAGTGCCTATTATGTTTCATTATGTCTGGTATAATCTAATTTTTGCAAGTCCAGAAAAATGACCACCAGTTATTGATAGACACAAGGCACAAGACTGAGTACATGAGATCGAGACATTTTGATATAACTAATGAATACATTGTGCAGTTCTGACTTTTGCCTCATAATTCTTAGTTGATGTATTTTTTTGCATGATTGTAGAAGTGCTTTAACTACAGCTGCTCAGAGAGATGTAACTAACAGGTGCAACTTTTTTGTTCAAGTCAAATGGGAACACAAGGAAAAAAGATTATTCCCCATGGCATTTTTATCTTATGAGATATTTTTGATCTTGTCCCATTCTTTCTAATCAATAGAGTTTGGATTCTAAACAGATGAGTACCTGAGCACAGAGTAGTTTCTAGAAGGTGGAAAAGAGAGTGCAGTCCTAGAGTTGTTGAAGTGGTGATTTCCAGAGGGTGGAGGCAGATGGAGTCTGGCCCTGCAGGTGGGACTAGAGGCTGGTGTCTGAAGAGCGGAGGAAGGGGACCAGAGTGTGTGTGTGTGTGTGTGTGTTTGTTTGTTTGAAATGTAAGTATCATGACAACACTGTTCACTCATATTCCACTTGTTTGCTAGGCACAAAGGAAGGGATGACTTCATACCGTATTAAGAAAACGGACACATGGGAGAGTTGTTTTGGTTTTGACTGGTGTTTTGTTGGCTGTAATAAAATTTAAGCCTGTCTCGCTGTATGATGCTCTGTGGCCATCTGCTGTACTCACCCTAATGACTTCATATGATGTCATTCTGTCTATATGAGCTTGGTGTGGTCTTTGCATACACAGAGTCATCCATAGAGCACAAGGGGAATTCAGCTCAACTGTAGATAATCATTGCATTAGTGTAGCAAGTGTAATGGTGTGTGCCACAGGGACCCAAACACACCTTGTGTTTTTACTTTACTGATGGAGCAGCTTTGTATTGTAGACCATGAGGCAGTGTTAAGTGTTTAGTGGAAGAGAAGGACTGTGTCAGGGGGAATTACCTGCAGAGAAACAAGATAGATCACAACATGTGCAGTATAGTATCATGAAAAAGCTCAGCGTGGGGTTACATACTACAATAAGGCTGCAAAATATCTCGCATATCAAATTGCTCTAAATGGTCAGGTTAGTATTGTTCTTGTTTAGAAGTATGTTTCTTTATACTTTTACTGCATTGCGTAAACTTGCAATGTAAACGTAAAACGAAATCTTATATTGAAAAAACATTTAAAAAAAACTTGTGAAAAATCACAAATTTAATCACATCTCATAATTACATAATTTTCTAAAATAGTTCACTAATAGCCCACTTCTACTTATATAAGATCATTGTACAACCTTGCTTTAGAAGTATTTGCAGTAGGTCTTTCTACTTTATTTCTTTTATTCTTTTTAATATGTGGAAAATTTTACTGTATCCCCATGGCTGTGAGGTAATATGCACTAAAGTTGCTGAAGAGAGACCAGTATTTTTCTTCATAAGATTACCAGTTATTGACTGAAATTCAAGCTAATACCGTCTCTGATATGATGCATTCGTTCTGATGTGTGACACTGTGTTTGTGGGATGCTGATGCAGCGATATAGTTCTGGTCGTGATTAGCAGAGGACCTGCAGCTGTGCACGGAGATGAGGTCATTGTTTGTGAGGCTTTGGGGTCTGGAGGAGGAGGCAGCAGCTGTGAGACTCATTCACTTTAGCCTCTGTGTGTGACGCTGTAGTGTAAGGCCGTCTACAGCAACAGCATGCATTGTGTCTCTGTAAACACTCACAGATGTTTGCAGTTGACTCACAAATCCCATTTTTCCAACAGATCTAAGAAGAACTTAAATATGCAGTATGCAGCTTTTCTGGCTGAGGGTCCACCACCTGTTTTCATGTTATTATTTGGTCTTTATGTCCCAAAAATCTCTCTACCTCTATGGAGATGAGCAAGTGACTCTACCAGCCCACTCACAGTATGAATGTACGTTTTCAAGGTAATTTAGAGGAATGAAAAAGCAATTATGGAATAATTGAAGTTTGAATATGTGTGACTTGCTTGTATTGATACTGAATCTGAACATTTGTCTTATTTTGGAAAACATTAAATCATTGTAACCATGTGGATCATTGTTTCCTGTGTTTCGCTCATGTTGTGACATTTTGAATCAATGTGATAATCTCAGTGATGACGGGCTCTGGTCCTTCTAGACCTCCATGGTACTGAGTGAGATAGAAGTGACACGACCATTAGTTAATTTTGTACAGCCTGTGTGTGGCCTATGACGTTTGTGCTGTGGACAGACCCCCCCCAATGCACCATTTCTAGTGTTGATCTTTTTTTACAAATTGTGTGAATGATTTATTGATGTATTGTCACAGAAAATATATCAATGTTTTTCCATGACATTATCCTGTGATGGGAATGAAGAACTGTGCATGAGCAAGTCATCTATATTGCTGGCTTTCATATGACATCACAATATTCTATAGGCCAATATTGTTAAATACAGATGGGGGACAACTAAAATTAATAGTTTTAAAATGCTGTTTTTGCCTTGTTTTGCGTCTAATCACTAACAGAAATCATCAAGTTCACTTTACACAACAAAGAGGTTAGTATTGTCATAACATACAAAGTGTATGCCAACTTTAAACGGGTGACTTGTTAAATTCAAAGAAAAAAATCATAAACAGTAATATTTAGGCCTGTTGTGATAAATACGATATTGACTTGTCATTCAATATATGAAATCTAGAACAATATTTTTTTGGGTCAGTATTTATCATGTGTACTTTTTATTTGCATTACTGAGAAAATGTGTACTTACTTTTGGGTCTATGATAAGATTTGAGCTGTAGAAGACTGAATTAATAATTTCTGTGACTCATTACAGATGCAAATTGAGAACTTAAGACTTTCTTTCTTCTATCTATTTATTGCAGCCCATGATTTTTTAATTATAGTGTAGATATAGAGCATTTTTGTGGTTTAAATCTGCTCTCAATATTTAGTTTGAAACAATAGTTTCAATATTATTGTTTATCATCGATATTTACTTCAATATATATTTAAAATTTGTTATCATGACAGGCCTAATAATACTGTAGAGGGTACTCATCACTAATGCTTTACTATATCCTCTCTCACTTTTCATTTCAATTAACAAATCTGTTTACAGCAGAGTCATAGTTGAAAAGAGTAACAAATCGGTACAACACTTCCTGTTTTTCCTGCATTAGGTTCCGGGCACATGTTTGCCATTAGCACATAAGCAGCTGTATCCTCATCCCGTATTGTTCCATCCAGGTGCTATATGAAAATGGTTATTTATTTGCTGTGTTAACCCATGAGAATTAGAAACTTATATGGATCCTCTATGGTCTCTAGTACAAGTAATGGGGGCGTGTGATGCATTGGCGCAATCATTTCTGGTCCGTTCAATATTCAGATGTTGAGTGAAAGAATATTACTTGATCATATTATGAACACAGCCAGCATTATCTTAGTCAGGATGTATTGGGACTGTATGTTTTTACAATATGGAGGCAAACAATAGGGCCGGAGACCCTCAACTTGGACCACCTGTGAAGGTCGTTTCAAAGTGGAAAACCCCGTCTTATAATAAATATCATAAAATTGGTGTTCTTAAAATAGACTTATTGGCAGTGTCCATCTTCCTGTTGTCACTTTCTTGAGACTAGTAGTAGTTCTTCTTGTTCTCTGCCATGTGTTTTATCACTCAGATATTAAATTTAAGTAAAGATGCCTATATGTTGTATGGACATTTTCTATTTTATATACTAATATTTCATTATTTACCATCTCATCTCTAGATCCTATAATGATGGCATTTCAGTTTTCATTGTTACCAAAAAGAAACAAAGTTGACCCATGCTCCACTCCTCTATCCTTCTTTAGTTTTGTTTTAGATTCTGTCAGATTAAGTTCAGAGTGGCCTTGCTGTGGCTCTGTCTTTAGGGCACCTATCTACCATGGTTTCCTATTGCAAGTCCAGTGTTTTATACTATAAAGAGAGATTCTCCTTACACCAGTAGGTCAGCGCTAAGGAAGTCATGATTCAGATGCAGTAATCTTAAGCCCACACACCCCACTGAGAAGCATTCAGTTAGCCCTCCTGAGAAGAGAGCCAAGTAATTATCTGGGTGCACAGCAGAGTATAGGCCCATCTGATTTCCTGAGTATGGCTGGAACACAGAGACATCAGGGTTTTGAAGTGGACTTTCTCTCTCTGTTACAACCGCCCTACTTTTATGAACCCCCAGGGCTATTGGCAGGGTTGAGGTGGGGCTGGAAATGGTTAAGTATAATGGAGACAGTGTTAGGCTTAAGAGCCCCCAAGCTCCACATTTCCAGCAGTGGGGAAACACAAGTGCTGGGACACTTCACATTCCCAACCAGTGTGCAGAGGCCACACCCCTCACAGGATACAAGAGAAAAAATAAAAGGTCAATAATAATGAACTATGTAATATTGTCATAAGATTTGTGTGACATGATATTCTTTTATTTGTACAGTATAACTCAACACTGACAAATACAAACTGGAAGGTAAACAAAACACTATGCTTTATTTTTAGTGACTTTTACCTATGCTCCAAGAATGCCATTTTAAACCTTTA